CTAGAAAACCCAATGAGGTAGTTCTACTCTGTCACATGGGGTCGCTAAGAGTAGAAAACCCGCTCCATGGTACCTAACAACGGCCATCAGCTCATGCTGTGAACATTTACTACACCCAACGCTAGGGGATACTAAGTCTTGAAGAACACGCTCACCAAGCAGAAGGGGGAAGACTGGAGCCCAGACAGAACGCCACTGTGCCAAGACCTGGAGGGACTTGGGTTGGGTCTCTTGGGAAGAGCCTTGCATGCCAGCCCATCCCAGTAGGTGCTCCACCATGTTGAGAGAGAGGAACACTTACATGCAGAACACCAGGAAACATTAATATACAAAAAAAAAATTTGTTCATGGAATTGAGGATTCTATGATAAATCAGATTATCATCTTACATTATATTCTAATATAGCCAAGTGGTAGCAGGGACCAGAGGTTTAAGAGAAAGTGATGGGAGAAACACTTAAAAGGGAGACTATTCCATCAATTAGCTTATTTTTTTCTGCCAGCCAAGAAAAGAGGGTCATTAGTTAATTTTAGCCATGGCCCGGCTGGGTGCAGTTTGGAGAGCACCTGTTTTCTGCTACGTGAGTTTGAGAACGCTGGTGTGGGCCAGAGGGAGCTGTTCGGGGCCTCAGGTAGGTGGGGACATGATCAGATCTGTGCTTTGAAAAGGTCACTGTGGCTGCAGGGTAGAGAATGGATGGGTGGAGGGGAAGGGCTGTTTGGAGTCCATGGCCGAGACCCACAGGATGAGAACCAGAATTGGGGCCTAGCTAGTGGAGACTGCAAATTCCTGGCAGGGGTGGGTGGGGGCCACTCCGTTTCTTGTCTTTCACCAATGCCTGGCTGGAGTTGGCACAGCCATAGCTCAATTTGTAGAAATGCCGACTGAACTGAATTGTCTGGTAAAAGAAGATAATAGAGTCTGGAAAAAATTGAGCTGTTGCCTCTCCCTGGGGTCTCTCTGCTTGGGAGAGGTGTTGTGGCTGAAGATAGTGAGCTGGGGAATTTTCTGAGGTTGGAAATACTCCAGGTTTTGAGGAGCTGTTGGGGGAGACAGAATACCAAGCTGCTGTTTCCTGAATCTGGCTAGCAGCCATCTGTTACGTTGGATCTTTGGAAAGAAGGCTTTTTTTAAAAAAATTTTTTTAGCCTTGGGGGCTTTTGCTGTTCATCTTGACAAAAGAATGACCGCCCTTCTATAGGAGCTAGAAAGTCCAAATTGAAAGCAAAGACCCATCAGTTTCAACTCATGACAACCCTATGTGTGTGAGAGTAGAGCTGTGCTCCATGGGGTTTTCAATGGCTGATTTTTTTTGGAAGTAGATCACCAGGACTTTCTTCCAAGATGCCTCTGGGTGGACTCAAACCTCTAACCTTTTGGTTAGCAGCCGAGCAAGTTAACCGTTTTCACCACCCAGGGGTTCCAAAGTTAAGAGATGTCCACTTAAGACCGTAAAACATGAGAGCACACCGCCGGCACCTCTAGAATTCCAAACCACAGAACAAGAATTTGGAAAATGTGCTTGGACAGGATCCAGTTCCCACCGCCAAGCCCTCCTCTTCAGAGTTGGCGGTGATGTCTTTCAGAGTGAGTAGAACTCAAGTGAACTTTCCATCAGCAAGACCGTACTGCAGATCAAACCCGCCGCCCAGGTAGGGAGCGCACTATGTGCTGGCCCCCTGTCCCGTAAACTCCTTCAGCAAAGGCGTGAGTCTGGCCCTGCTGGCCCAGTTTATCTAACCACTAACCTGTCAGCACTCGAAAGCCTTCCCCTGCAACTATCTGCCTTCAGCGGGGAAAGTCCATGTTTATGGCTCCCTTTGGCACCGATTAAGATGACAAGAAAAGAATGAACCACTTGTCCCCAAAAGTAACTTCTTGGATCCATCGGCAAAATGTTAGAAAGCGGGTGCATAGCCCAAGAAACAGGGCACAGAGGCTCTTTAAGCTTGGGGAGTATTACGGAATCCTCTCCCAGGCCAAGAATGAGTCACAATGAAAGCTTTTAAAATATAAAACCATCAACCTAGATTTCAATTCCAAGGAAACACATACTTGGCCATGAGGGAATGCTTTAAAAAAAAAAAAAAAAAAAAATCAGGCTTAAGCCATTTGACAGGAAAATAAAACAGCCAAGGAACATTCAAATATAATGATTTACATCCTTCCCCACCTCCTTTCCAACGTGGGCCAGGGCGTGCACGGCACAAACAGCATGCACACACTCTCCCTTCTTCTCACTTAGCACTATCTCGCGCACGCGATCCCGTGCCTGGCCTCTGCCAGGCCATGGCTGCAAGATGTTGCTTTCGGGTTGCTCTGCCAATCCCTGAGAGTCTTCATGATTTCCCTGCCGTGGGGCTCTTGGGTTGCTTGGGGTGGCTGTTTAGGGACTACAAGGATTTTTCTTCTATTATTTATGTCTGCTAGCGCTGTTCATGTCTCTCAAAGAAATAGAAGCTTGATCGATTTCCTAAACGTAAGACCGAGATTGTCCTGCAATAAATATTTAGGACGGACCAGGAGGGGTGACCACCAACTGCTGAAACACAAGCCCAGGAATTACTTTGTTAAGCTTTCCGGCCAAGGGGAATGAATGAATAACCATCCCATATAATATGTGCTCAGCACCTGAGAGTTTACAAAGCGTTTTCACTTATCTCGTTCGATCTTCACAATAACCCGACAGGTAGGCAGGGGCGGATTACAAGGATTATGAAAACCCCACGTTTTCTCCCCCTCTGAGCAGGTAAGGGCTCTAAGGCTCAAAGTCACTCCACAGAGGTCAGAGTTTGGGGAAATCTCGGGTCTTTAATTCATTCATGCACGTATTTAACAAACATTTATCCAGAGCCTGCTCCAAGCCAGACGAGATGGCAGTGGGTCCACAGATGAATAAAACACAGTCCCTCCGTGGCTCTAGCCTGGGGAGGAAAGAGGGGCCGGAGAAACAAGTCACTGCTTAGCAAGGTGTTGCGTGCTCGAGAAGGAACGGGGTGCAGAGCGCATTTCTAATCGGATGTTCTTGCCCAAGCCCCGCTCAGCTGTTCTTTACAAACATCTATCCCCTGCAGGGGGAGTAGGGGGCTTGACTGTGTGACTGGGGCAGATCTCCCTGGGGGCATCGGATGCCGAGTGGGAAGAGAACTCTCCCTCCTTCGAAATATTTCCTGGGGTGCCGTGTTCCGCCCGGGGTTCACACCCTGGTTCCCCGGGTCTTCTCTCCACGAGAGAAGCCGGGGTCTCTGTCTATACAGGGCGGCATGCCATCTCCCCGCAGCCCGGCTCGTGAACGGCAGCTTCCCGCTGTCTGCGGTGACCGCGGCGACAGAGGTTTTGTGTCGCCCGACCGTTTTCCAACGCCGAGAAAGTCTCCCCGCGCTGGTCTCTGCCCCTTCCCCGGCTCGGGAAGCTAGCGCCCCTTCCTCGAAATGAACTCGCCCAGCCGGCTCTCTGGCTGTGTATTTTCTTTTTATTTTTGTATGCATTTTGATATTTCCCCGGAAGATATTTTTTAAATGAATTCTTTGTTACACAACTAGTGCGTAGAAACATTCTCCTTTAGGAAAAAAAAAAAAAAATGCCTTAGGTAGTCAGCGATTTCGCTCAAGCCCCCTGGGGGACCCCGCCTGCACCCCGTTTCGGGCACTGTCTCCCGCGCTGGCCCAGAAGCCCTTTGTGAGCGGCGGACACCGGCTGCGGGTTTCGTTTTCTTTTCCTTGTCTTTGCAAGCCCGGCGCTTAGCACCCGGAAAACCCTCGGAAAATACATGTATGCGTGTGCGTAAAGTTTGTGTATTGTGCAAACACATGCGTGGATGGGGCCCCCTTCCTTTTGCAGACCCTCCGTGCGGGCCCGGCCGTGCAGCCCCCGCGGTGGTCTCGGCTCGCCCGGGAAGGGCAGCTGCCCCTGCCCAGGCGCCAGGCCCCGGAGGCGCGGCCGCAGCTCCTCGACCCC